ATTTCATAAACTGCTAATTGGTGTATGTAATTTCATACAATTTACATGAGTAAATAAGTAATCTTAAAACTTTTATATTAATTTTTAGATTAAAATTTTTGCTTAGTCATTGTTAACCCTACACTAATGAAAAAATGTTAAGCTTTGCATTTATTTTTCTTATATATACAGCACTATACATACAGCCCATAGTAGATAGTGTTACCTGTATATTAAAATTTCATGGAGGGGCAATTAAAAATAAAAGGTTTGAAAAAGGTCCTTAGGGGAGAGAACACGTAAAAAAATCTGAAAAATGCTATATTAAAATAATTACCTATCAGAGGGAATACTGAGCTAAGTCATCTCCAGTCCACTTGGTGTTGAGCACTCCAATTTGTTATGAGTACTGCCATGTCAGGTAAACACCAAAACACACCAAAAATAGGAACTAAGTGAACCAGAGAGGCAGAATTTACCTTATGCATATCTGAAGGTGACAAAAACAATAAATAAGCTCAAAACCACGACAGGGCCAGGGAATCTGTGATTAGTGCTGAGCTGCTGTAAAAACCCTGTGGCCCCTAAGACACCACTGATCCCGCTGTGCGGCAGTTACCCCATGTTCATTTAATACTGCTTTGAGTCTTTTATTCTTGCAAGAAAGCCAATGGAAATGGTAGTACTAGAAAAACTTGTCTCAAACACAACAAAGTAGACAGTCAGAGGAGTAAAAACTATTTTTACACAGGGTAATAAGGTTAGAAGTTTAAAAGCTTCCAAACTTCTTTTTTTAACCTGATGCCTTGACAGAACAACACCTTTGTTGATTGTAACTAAATTCAGACATGCTATACAGTTCCCCCTTTATTACAGCCCAGAAAATTTTGTGTAAATCAAACCATAATCTGAATACCTTTACTTCAACAAATTGTTCAACAGATATTTTCTCATCTATTTCTAAGCTCCTATTACATGAGAACCAGTGTGACTGACGACCAGGGAAACATCACAATTTCACCCATATTTTTTTTTTTTTTTTTTTTTTAAGCATCAGAAATCTTTCACAGGTGTTCTGAAAGGCAAATAAGGTCATGACCTACAGGTCAAGCCAATCATTAGGTGTGATGTAACAGAAGGTTCCTAAATAGCCACAGTATGTACATATGGTGTAGGATTAAATGTGCATATTACTTACAAAGTTATTTTTCACTTCATAAAATGAATTATGAGCAGCATGAAAACTAAAATTGTCAAAACTAAAGTTCTAAGACTTTTGTCTGTCCATCTGGGACCCTGTCTCAAGTTAAATTGAAGTTTTCTGTAGAACTGTAAATAATCAAAACTGAAATAGGTAGCAAGCTAATGGGGGGTGAGGGGACTCTCTCAAGTCAATGCAGCCAATCACAAGCAAAGCCTGCTACATTCTACAAGAAATAATTTTTGCCACTGATCTGCCCAGCAACCACAGAATTGTTCTAAACACAAAAATGTTGAGAATTTTTCTTGCCCAGAAGTGGTTTTTGAAAAGGATAAATGCATCTAAACATACATAATTTAGTTTGCAACAAACCACAAAAACAGAGGAAAAAGCCTAGAATAAAAGCATATACATATGCTATAATAATCTGATCAAATGCTACTAAAACATTCTTGAGTTGAACCCTTTTGAAACCTTTAAAATTCTCTGTAGTCTGCTAACTAGTTAAAGGTTGCTCTTTTTTTTTTAACTCAACATTGACCTTATTCTATCATCATATCAGCTTGATATTCTAGCTCACTTTAGGGTCTTAAACTGCAAAGGTGCTCAGCAAATGAAAAATACGTAAGATTAAGCAATCAGGCTTTTCAGTCTGACGACAGACACAGGCTTTCTGAGTGCTTCTGCAGATACTCCACACGCTGCAGAGGGCTGCTGGCTGCATAATAAGCAAGGTTACAATTCAATGTCAACACAACTCCTTGGAATTGATGTGATGATCAATGAAATGAATTTCCAGATTTCTCTTACAAAGGACAGGGCCAAGTTTCTCAAAGGGAATTAAGTTCTATTCCACTTATCCCTACCATCAAACAAAGCAGCACAAAGGGAAGCTTGGAAGCATACATTACAAAGGACAGAAAAAAATTAGGTATAACTGTCAGTGTAACTGACATTAGCAGGAATCTCTGGTGTACAGGCTTAGCTCAATTATAATTGCAAAGCCACTAAGGATTTTTAATTATTAAAAAGTAAACCATATGCCAGAGTAATAGAATACAGCTCAATAATCAAGAATGGCATGAAACAGTAGTTCTTAATTTGTTTCTACTCTACTTTTTGATACTCTGAAGACCTTTTGTTAGCAGAAAAAGCTATATGTAAAAACAAGAGGCCTGAGGAAATGATGTAGCTAAACAAGCCCCTACAACCAATTCCTGTGTTTAATGATTTACTTAGGAGTATGGAAACAAATTTTTGTTTCTTAGTTGTGGTATGTATGTATGCATATATATTAGACAAAGAACTAATACCAGCTTTACCACTGACTTATTTTGACAAGCATTTCTTTAGGCCTTGATTTCTTTGACCATAAAAAAAGAAAAAAGGGTAATCATATTTGTCATTAGATAATCAAAACAGACTTAGAAATCCCTATGAAAAATGAGGAATCATTATTTATAATGACCTTAATTCTCTTTGGCTTGATGGTTCTTAAAGAAAGCATCCTGAGAAAAAAGCACCCAGGACTAGCATATGCCCATGAATCCAGGGCAACTGATGTGGCCAATGATGGTGATGGGCAGTGAAAGTAAACATCCTACCCCTTTTCAGGGAAAGCAAGTTAGAAATATTGAATACCACTTATCCAGGGCACCCAAATGTATAAAGAAGTGATACCAAAGCTGCCCAAATTAAAAAATCTTAGATATTTCATAGATGTAAAAACTTTTTTTAAACATCATGAAATTTCATTATGAGAATCAATGAAGATTCATAGAAGAAACATAAGTATGAGTCCATAAATTCTCATAATTAAAAACCAAAGTAACAACTTGGTCTAACAAAATCGAACCTAAAGAGCTACAACCAGGCTGGGGATGTAGCTAAGTGGTGGAGTGTCTGCCTGCCTTTGGTGAGGACTTATGTTCAGTACCTGCACCACAAAAACAAAAGAGTTATAACCACATCAGAAGAAGTCATCGTTTATGTATATATTTACTAATTATAAAAATACATTTTGAACCAAAGCAGCAGATAATGGTATATTAGTGAAATTAAGTTCCAAGCATCATATTCTGTTTCAGTGCTAATTTAGACAGAATTCAAATTATACCACAAATTTAGAATTATAAAAATCCAATTTTTAAAGGGAGATCAGCACATATTAACTGTATCATAAAAAGTTCCAAGTGGCATGTATCATGACATTTTCCAAAAGCTAAATTCTATAGCTTCTACCTTCTAAAGATTTCTAATTTTTGTTTTTGTTTTGCATTACTGGGGATTGAACTCAAGGCTTTTCAGAGGCAAGACAAGTCTTCTATCACTGAGCTATATCCCCAGCTCCAAAAGGTTTTTTAATCAAGTTTTCCTTGAAAGCAAACTGCATTGAATCAAAGTGTGAAATATGATTTGTCAAGAACTATGTAATGTTTTGAACAACTAACAATAAAAATTAAAGGAAAAAAAAAGAAAGAAAGAAAGAAAGAAAGCAAACTGCAGCTTGTTGCTCTACAAACCAGCCTGTTTCCCACCTTTAGCTTTGCTCACAGGGGTTGCCTGTTTCCCTGGGTCCATCTACTCCTTCAAAGATCCACCTTACTTCCAGAAACTCACTAACATTTTTCTGGTAGCTTCAAGAAGCTGCACTCTCTTCCTCTTTGAACCTTGAGGTACTTATCTTTGCAGCTTGGTTTAAGAGATGAGATATAGCGGCCTTTTCTTCTGCAAGTTCCTCCAAGCAGGGCCCAGGTCCTACCCATCCTTGTCTTCTTCTTTTTTTTTTTTTTAATTAAAATTTATTATTATTATTATGCTTATCTTCTTAACTGGGACCTCAGATTCTTCTGAGAAATGAATGTCTAAGGAACTTACACAGGAGATTCACAATATAAAGATAATGATTCATATAAAAGTTATAAAAAGCATCATACCAATACCAAAGTATGTTTGAATCTACCAGTTCAGCTCTTTGCAACTTTCCAAATAACAGGAGCTCACTTAAGTGGCACAATCTGCTTTAGGGAACTGATTTTTAATTTCAGTTAACCTGTTTGTTAAATAAGATTTCTGAGAAATATTTTCTATACAAGGAAAAGAAATATTTCACATCTATTTACAGATTACCATTAGCCTGGACCTACCGATCTTAGGGCAGAATTCAAGAAGAGAAAGCAGGTGAGTGAGTACAAAATGGCTGACAGCGAGGCCTTACGGGAAGAACATGGGAGGTGAGTCCTGGTTCTACACAGGTGACCCAGCTCAACGCACTTCACTTGCCTCACCTTAGTTCCCTTCTTAGAAAAACAGGATATTGGACTATATGAACACTGGATTCTTCAAATGCTGAATGCTACAGCTTCTATTTTCTGAAGATTTCTGACATTAGTTTTTTTGTTTTATTTTGTTTTGTGGCACTGGAGATAAATTCAGTGTTGTTCACTTTCTAACACTAGAATTGTATGAGCATAACACGTCTTTCTTGCATTATTTCTATGCTATTAAATATTTCAATTTTATTGAAAAAAGAGAGAACCCTACTCATCTTTAAAAAGATCCATACATTTCATGTAATTTTTAAAGAAATTTCAAAATGGAAAAGAAAACAAACATTAAAACAAAAATCTCCGAGGACTAAGAAAAATAAATATAAGCAAAATTCAAAAATATCTTCCAACCAAACCTCAAGCCAGTACAAATAACCCTTCCCATACTCTCTAAATCAAAATCAAAAAAAAAAAAAGAAAAAGAAAAATAGGACTTATTTAGCTTCTTTATTACATTATCACTAACTCTGGATTCAGCAAGCCCACCTTACCTTCTGACGCTTTGATCATGTAGCCTCCCTTATCTTTGCTAGGAGGTACATCAAGCAGCTGCATAATTCTGTCCAGTAGCCCATGGATTATCTCAAACCCAGGATTCTTGTTGTAATAAACAGCACAGAGATGCCTGTAGTTTTTTGCACCTACATCTGGAAAAAAAAAAAAAAAAGAACTGGTCACAAGGACACATTAACCATTAGTAAAGAAACTGACAACACACACACACACACACACACACAGAGAGAGAGAGAGAAAAGAAAACCTATTATGTGACATAAAAAGAAGCATCTGACCTCAGGAATGCAAGTCCTTTTCAATCACTGAATTTCCAAAGGTATTTAATGGGGAGGAGGGGAGAAGAACCCTCAATACGAGTCCAATAAGGTTTTATTACAATATAAAGCACAAAACTTCTTTGCACAACACTTTAGCAGAGCCTTATAACTCACACTCTTTATTCATGATACTACCTAAGGAAATAATCTTAAATACAAACAAAATAAAGGCTTCATGTAGAAAGACATTTACTGGACCATTATTTTCAATAGTGAAAATCAGAAACAACCTAAATAGGGAAATCACTATATAAAATACAGTATGGTTACTCATCAGAATACTATGGTGGCTAGCAGGGCGCAGTGGCACACGCCTATAATCTCAGCGGTTCAGGAGGTTAAGCCAGGAGGATTGCAGATACTGAGACAGGAGGATTGCAAGTTCAGAGCCAGCCTCAGTAAGAGCAAAAAAAACAAAAAAATATTATGGTGGCTGATAGAAAGCAGCTTTATGATAGTTTATCATAACAGAACCAAAGTACATAAGAAAAAAAAAGGCAGTCATAAAGTTCAAAAGTAAATAATATCGTTTAAAGAACACATGAAGCAAAGTGAGAAAATGACTACCAAAGTTAGGCTGACAAATGCCCCAGGTAAAGCCAAGGTACTAAGAAGGGAGGTGGCATACAAGAAGCTTAGGACACTGGCAGTATTCATTTCTTAATTTGGGTGATGATTATAGTAGTGTTTGTTTTATAATCCATTTGAAACTACACACACACACACACACACACACACACACACATTCTTCACAATTAAAACATGAAAAAAGCAGAATTCAAAAGTATTACCACAATAATAATTTTTTAACATGCATAAAGAATAGAACCAAAACTATGTAAATATGGCCATAATTCAAAACTCCATGCACAGGAGGAGGGGGAAAAGACTAAAAAGAAATGTACCTAAATAACAGGTTATATGTGGGCAATGATAATTGTTTTTACCTATTTCTCAATTTTCTATGATTTGTAATATATTATACTTAAAAATGAAAACAAACATAACTTGATGTTTTAAAAAAGAATTACAAATATAACTTGACATTTTAAAAAGGAATTACAACAATCCAAATGAACCCTGATGTATAACTGGATTAAACAAACTGGTATATCCATACAATCGAGTATTACTCAGCGATAAAATGAAACAAACTATTGGTGGACTTGACAACTTGGATTGCTCTCAAAGGCATTGTACTGAATGAAAGCAGCCAGTCTCAAAAAGTTTCTGACGGTATGAGTCAGTCCACTCATATGACATTCTGGAAAAGGCAAAACTATAGCAATGGAAAACAGTGGTGGTCTGCAATAGGTGTGGGGAAAAATGAAACCAATACTAAACAGCACATGGATTTTCAGGGTGATGGAACCGTTTTAGATCACATGGTGGTAATTTTTTTTAAAAGTGCACAGTATATAAAGGAAGATTCAAAGACAACAGTATCATTAACTTAATAATAGGTATATAGACTTATAGCCCTGTAATAAATTCTAGAGATGACTGCTTTAATACAAACACTAAATGAATGTTGGTTCCATTTTGTTTTTCGTATTAGGAAAGAGAACCAACTAATGTCTACAAAATAATGTCTATCTGGGAGCATAGACTGAAAAGAGAATGCGGCCTCATTTTAGCATATACTAAGCAAAAGCTCTTCAACAGTATTATCACAATAGGTAAGAGCTACTAGTCAGAATTGACATAAAGTATATAAGACTTTCATCTGAATATCCAAAAGGACCTAGGTACTTTAAGACACTGTACTCTACTATTAAAGTAGTATCAAAGTAAACACACAAATGGGGTAAAAGGAAAACTAATATTAACTGACAATCTACCATGTGTCAGGTATTTAGTACTTACTTGTCAATCTATCTATAATTTTACTGATGTCACAAGGCAACTATACAAGGTAGGTATTATTATCCTTATGAAACAGGAGAAACAATAACTTGGAATGACTAAGAACTTGCCCCAAATCAAACTAACTGGCTATAACTATGATTAATTACATAGTTAATAAATTACAAAATCAGGATATGATCAGGATTGTCTAACACTAAAACCCATGTTCCTTCCAGTACTACGTAGTACACAGATAAAGAATTTAAATTTAGATGGAGACAATATGGGTAAAGAGCCAAGTTATGTATGGCTATAAATATATCTACTTAATATAATTAAAGGTGCGCATTCTTTTTTGCAGTCCAAGGTATTGATTGACCCTAGGGGCACTATACCACTGAGCTACCTCCCCACCCTACCCCCGTCTCTACCCCGCTTTCAAAATATTGAGTCAGTCTGCTAAATTGCCCAGGCTGGCCTTTGAATTTGTGATCCTCCTGCCTCAACCTACCAAATTGCTGGGATTACAGGCATGTGCCACTGCACTGGGCAAAGATGTGAATTCTTGAAATGTTTTTGATACACATGCTTATTTTCATGATTTTTAAGAATTCTACGTAAGCAAATGGAATAAATTATTTTTAAAAATCAGTGAAGTCACCAATGGTATTGTAACTTATGGAAAGCATATTCTGAATTAAAGTTCTGACTAAACAGACAAGAAGAAATAACTCCTCTTGCCATGTAACATCTTAGAGCATATTATGTTCAACATACTCAACTATTGATATCCCTAGATGGTAGAGGTCAGCGGCAGAATAGGGCTTGAATGTACTAATCCCTCAATAATTATTTTCTGATAAATGCCTAAAGCCTAGAGAAAAGGAATTAAGCACACCCAAACAACTAACAAGGCCAGGAACGGTAGGCCATATTCTAAGGCAACACAGAAGCCATCTGCTGAGGTAAGAAAGTGAGCACCATATTATCACTCTCCATCCTTTCCATTTTCAAGGATAAAGTAATCTGGTATCTAAAAGTTATAATCAAAGGTGTGAGAAAGAATAAAGATCAATATTAAAATCAGGCAGGAACAAAACCCCACAAAACTAACTATGTGTATAAACTTAAATGAGGGGCCTAATTCTACGGTAGGAACACAAACATACACAAACTCTTTCTTCTCCTAAAGGGAAAAAAATGAAATGAAACAGAACTAAATTATCCCTTCATACTACTGACTTGCTTCTGGGTATTTCTACCATGTGGTACCCATTTGTTGGTGTCACATGCTTCCACTTTAACACACAGGCATGTATTCAAACTACTTTGTAGTTCCATTTTTATTGTGAGAGAATGGCCCAATAGTAATGCCACCATTCAGAGAGCTTAGCAACATAAACTGGAAGCCTTATTTTGGTAACCTTTGCCTTGGAATAGTTCTTTCTTCATCGCAAAATTATATAAAACTTACCTTTCTGGTAAAAGTAGCACATCTGAGTCAAAAACTTAGAATTTTTAAAAAGCTGATTGATTATAGTGATCAGAATGAAATTATAATAAACATATAGAACTTTAAAAAATTAAATTCTACTTTGTTTAAGCAAGGTTTGAGGACATTCATAACATACACACAGACAATGAACTACATATCTTTAGATTTAATTTTGTAATATTTTTAAGAAAGGCCACTGACTTTTGGGCTATGTACTAAATTCACCATAATAATTAGATTAACCTCATTATTTTGGTGCCCCCTCCCAACTCCACCACCGATTGACTAGTTTTTCACACTTCCCAAGGGCTACCAATCCTTCTAGACTGGTTTCCTCACATCTTGCTACCATAGTCTCTCTTCTTTAGCTGAAATTAATTAAAAGAGAAAATAACCACAGTTTCAATTCCATCCATTCCTCCTTGGAGAAACAGCTAGGTACAGTAAAACTTCCATTTCCTAATATTTTGTACTGAAAGACCATATTATATCACAGGAAGTTCACTGACTGCACACTACGAAATAAGAACTATTTAAATTTCATGCCAAAGCTAGGATTTGTTGGAAATGCCTCAGTTCTTTATAACTCAGTTAACAGACCTCTTGTGTCATGCCATCAAACAATTCTGCTTTTTAAATGGGCCTGCCAAGTATGTCAGCCTAAATTATCCATGTATTTCACAGACTTCAAAGTACAGCCTGGAGAGGGCTGATCTAAACCACCAAAAGGAGGGGCAGCTAGCTACAGTTCTGTAAGCTGAAAGAATATGCCAAATGATTTTCTTTGAAAAAAAGAAAGGTACTTGATATCCCTACTATATAACGATTGCATATAATTCAAAATTTTAGAATAGGCTACCACCTGGTATAGATCCTCTTTCACCAAAGTACCAATGATTTTAAGTAAATTATTGGTATTTAGTTATTTTTAGCACAAATGGCACAGACTGGAAATGGGCAGAATCTTCAAGAGACTCTTTCCATACCTATTCTCATCTTCACCTAGAAGCCCTAAAGGTGCTAGAAGACCAAAAGGCTTCAGGGACAATCAGGGGCTGATGTAGCATCTGAAATTAATAGTCTGGCCAATCTCAGAAAATAAAACACATCACCTTGTTTTAAAATCTATTCAATACTGGCACCCACAAGACTTATAATTTATATTGCAAGTTTTACTTCTCTCCTAAAACATTCCAATGCAACTTTAATGATTTATAAAAGCTACAAGCACCCTGTGATCACATATAATATAGAGAAAAAGGAAACTTGATATACTCTTGGTAGGAACAGATACATAAATAACAACTTTAAGTTCTTCTTTGGAAGAGATTCTGACAAGTTATTAAACACTTAAGTGTATATACCAATGAAGTGATCAATTCTATTTCTAAAATTATGTCTTTAATAGGGGAACAAAGATATTTACTGCAACAGACATTTTAGTAAAATTCTGGTAATTATATATTCATCA